GGGCTTTCTGAGAATAACTTACATAATCACTTCATTAAACAAGTATGGCCCCTCAGGGAGGCCCAGGTGACTCTGGCCACAGCCTCGGCCTCCGTCGCTCTGCGAGCTGCGGGCATCGCATGATTCGCAGCTAAGACTCCGCGACACTCTGAAGCCCAGAAATGAGAAGTGATTTACTTAGAGAAAGAGAAAAAGGAGATGAAAAGCTTCCATGAAGAGTGTGGAAGGGGACCCCAGAGGTCTTTCCTCCAGAGAGGAAAGACAGCTTCCACAAACGGAGTGTGAAAGGGGACCCAAGTAGGGAATCCAGGAGAGGAAAAGCAGCTTCCACAAGTGTGTAAGGGGACCCCAGAGAGGTCCTCCAGCAGAAATAAAGGCATTCCATAATTCTTTTCTCTTTGGGAGAGACCATCTCCATCAGCTGTAAACAAACAAAAAAACCCCAAAAACCCTCTTTTTTGACAAGTTTGTAAAGCCTGTCCATCTGTGTCTATAATAATCCTCAAAGCCTTAAGCTACGCCCCTTAATTCAGCCAGTTCAGCAAGAAGAAACCCACCCAGCTGCTTGAGAGGGTTTCAGAGGCAGAATTGCTTGAACCTGGGAGGTGGAGGTTGTGGTGAGCAAAGATAATGCCATTGCACTCCAGCCTGGGCAACAAAAGTGTAACTCCATCTCAAAAAAAGAAAAATCATTTTTCTTTCCAAATGATGGCATAATTGTGAAATATTAAAAAGGCATAATTGGTATCTGTATAAATAGTAACTAACTCCCTGGTTCTTATTCTAGGGCTCTGATCCGGACTATGTGCTCTAGACTGGTGAGCTGAAGTTCCCAGAGATAGTTTTATAGACAAACGATTTGGAAGGCAACTGTAAGGTACTAGGCAAAACTGAGAAACAGACACAAAGAAAACTAATATAGAGTGAAATAATTGAGAAATTTGTATTAGAAAGGCAATTAAATCATAGTATACTGCTTGCATTTGTAGTAAATATTTGATTAATCCCATTATAGCATTTGCTGACTACAGGTTAAGGTAAAAATTATGCTATATTCTGAACTGCTGGAGGGGTGAATGGTGACCAAATTGCAGATGATGGGCTCAGGTTGCTCCCTGATGGGCTGTGTTCTTCCAGGCCCTTGGTCCCTCACTCACCCAAGAATGGGGGAGAGGACCTTGCCAGATTTAGTAGGCTCTTAAGTAAATATTGAATCCCAAAGAATTTTGCAGAAAGTGATTTATTTAGGCAGAGAGAGAGAGAAAAAGGAGAAAGAAAAGCAGCTTCCATGTCTTCCCCCGTGCGTGAAAGTTAAAGACCTCTAAGCTCCCTGATGGGAGAAGTGGGCAGAGGCATGATACTGGGAATTTCTTGCCTTTGAAACCAAGCCCCCTCGTGAACCTGAAGAGAATACATTCTCTCAGAAGGACAGCTGAAGGAAAGGGTGTTCCCCAGTACATGTCAGTATCAAAGGGCAATTTTTCTAGAGTTTATATAGTTCAGGAAGTATTTCTCCTTTATGTATCATATTTTGTACATTTGCATGCACACACACATAACAAAAATGTATCAATTGGTTGAATTTTCTTATATTTTTACTAAGAATGGGCGAAGACAATTATTTTGTTTGAAGAGGGTACTTACTGTAATAAAGAGTGTTTCCTCTGGAGTCAAAGTTGCCTGTGTTTTAAAACTGGCTCCATTATTGTGACCAAGTAATTTTTCTCTGTGGCTCTGTTTCTTTCTCTGTAAAATAAGGACAATAATAATATTAATAAAATGTGTAAAAAGCTGAATTTCATTAATACATGCTTTAATACAGAAGTATCTTTTCAGTAAATAAAATTTTCAGCCAATAAAAAAAAACAAGTATGGTAATTTAAATTTCCTAAATAAGTACTCTATTCTTTTATTATAGTGGGTCAATTTTAGCTTATTATTCTTTTATTATTTATATTTGAGACAGGGTCTCACTCTGGATTTGCCATGGCACAATCACAGCTCACTGCAACCTCGACCTCCTGGGCTCAAGCTATCATCTTACCTCAGCTTCCCAAGTACCTCAGACTATACGAATGTACCACCATGCCTGAGCAATTTTTGTATTTTTTGGTAGAAATGGGGTTTTGCCATGTTATTCAAGCTGGTCTCCAACTTGTGGACTCAAGCGATCTGCCCACTGAGGCCTCCCCAAATGCTGGGATTACAGGCATGACCCACTGCACCTGGCTATATATATATTGAGTCTCACTCTGTCACCTGGGCTGGAGTGCAGTAATGCGATCTCAGCTCACCGCAACCTCTGCTGCAGGTTCAAGCAATTCTCCTGCCTCAGCCTCCTGAGTAGCTGAGATTACAGGCACCTGTCACCGGGCCCAGCTAACTTTTGTATTTTTAGTAGAGATGGGGTTTCACCATCTTGGTCATTCTGGTCTTTAACTCCTAACCTCATGATCCACCTGCCTCAGCCTCCCAAAATGCTGGGATTACAGGCATGAGCCACTCCGCCCAACTAAGTATGCTATTCTAAAGAAAATATAAGCCTGGCCAACGTGGTGAAATCCTGTCTCTACTACAAATACAAAAATTAGCCGGACACGGTGTCGGGTGCATGTAGTCCCAGCTACCAGGGAGGCTGAGACAGGAGAAGCGCTTGAATCTAGGAAGTGGTGGTTGCAGTGAGCCAAGGTCGTATCACTGCACTCCAGCCTGGGGGACAGAGTGAGACCCTGTCTCAAAAAAATAAAAAATGAAAATAAAGGAAATATTTTTCATATACTAGTAAGTAAATCCTGACAAATAATACTGTGAACAAATAAAATACAATTTTTATACTTTTATAAGTACTAAGTAAGCCTGCAATGATGTGTTGTTAAAAGTGAAGAAACCTTTATAAAATAATAATTTTCATATCTCCTCTACACTTAAAGAAATTATAACATTACAATGCTCCATTTTAAAAAACAATGACACCTGTAAAAAGTTTATGAAACTTTTTTAGCCTGGCCTGTATTCCAAACAGTTAACATACCCCCCTCTAGTGGACAAATGGAAATTGTACACTAAGTGTATGGAGTTCCTTTTTTTTTTCTTTCCCTTCGTTTTCTTCTTCCCTCTCTGCCTCCTTTTCTTCTTTCCTCTTTTTCCTTCTACCCTTTTTCTTTCCTCTTGTTGCCAAAATTATAGGGACTTACTTATTTTATCAAAGCATCTCTCTTTTCCACCAGACTCAATACGGTTCTTGCTTTTCCTAAAAGACATTGTTAAGACCTAGTTCTCAAAGAACCACCAAAGGAATTAATCAATTTCAGTTCTGAAGACAGAACTGTAATAGAGATACAATTACAGCAGGGGCCAGAATAAAATAAAGACAGGTTTGGAAAGGACTAAAACAGAAAACATCGGTAGTAAAATAAGGAGCAACTCAACTGTGACAGAAAACACTTCATTAAATGCTGAGTAAATGCTAACAATAAATGCAAAACCCCAACAGCAGACTGGAAATTAGACTGGACAAGAACGGGATTCCTTATGTTTGTTTTACAACTTCATAATAATTAATAAACTACTGTAGTTGGCTTATTCCTATAACTAAACTAAGGTGAGCAACCCCAGGGAAGCATCACAGAGTCCTAGTGAACATGTGGGTCTCCAGAGAAAACACACCACACAATGGTCATAGGGAGCCAGTTGCCACTTAACACCAATTTTGACTAGATGTAGACATCACTAAGTGGTCAAAATTATACTGGTTTACAAGTTTAGAAAGAGACCGATTACTCCATTACCAATAATAGTAATAAATAGTATAATCACAGTAATAGTAATAAGTTACTATTATTGCCCCCTTTGTTCCAAAGCTACATAAGGAGCTGAGAGCAGTCAGATGAGGGTTGGCTTTTTGCGTGTTTTTCCACCCACAGCATTCCCAAAGGCTACTCAAGTTCCAGACTAGTCCTTTAGATTAAGTCAGGTCTGCGCCATCCTTCAGCGCTCATTGGCCTCCAGCAGAGGCAGCTCTGAGAAGTTAAGGTTAGCTTAATTATAAACAGGTTCTTCCTTGTTCAGAAAGTATACCATGCATCTCGAGTTGGAAGACGGTTTAAAAGCCATCTATTCAAACTGCCACCCAGTGCAAGGATCCCCTTTTCTGCACTGTCCCTAACAAGTGATGATCTAACTGCCACTTGAACATTTCCAGTGATGAAGGAATTCACTACCCCTTACGTTTACCTATTTGTCCTTCAGAGTTCTAATTGATAGAATGCTTTATTTATTTATTTATTTATTTATTTATTTATTTATTTTTGAGACGGAATTTCGCTCTTGTTATCCAGGCTGGAGTGCAATGGCGCGATCTCGGCTCACCGAAACCTCTCCTGCCTCAGCCTCCCAAGTAGCTGGGATTACAGGCACGCGCCACCATGCCCAGCTAATTTTTGTATTTTTAGTAGAGACGGGGTTTCACCATGTTGACCAGGATGGTCTCGATCTCTCGACCTCGTGATCCACCCGCCTCGGCCTCCCAAAGTGCTGGGATTACAGGCTTGAGCCACCGCGCCCGGCTAGAATGTTTTATTGAACTACGTTCTGCTTCTCTTATTCTTTCATCCGTTGTCCTTAAATGTGTCCTCTGAAGTAGTAAAATCTCCCATATGAAAAATATTTAAAATACAGGAAGACAGCTATTACGTATTCTCTTCTCCAGATTAAATATTTCTGGTTCCTTTCATTGCTTTTCCTAAGAAACGATTTCCAGCTCCTTCCTTGGTCTGACGGAGCCCGCGTTGTAACCGAACTCGGACCGCCTGCTGACGTCTCAGGGCTGAACCTCAGGGTGTGGGAAGCTGAGTGGCGTCGCCCGGCCCGCGTTCTCATTTGAATGCGTGGGTATTCAGAGCGCTGGCCAATAGAGAGAAGCGCTGGCTGCGCTTCTTTCCCGGGGGATTACTGTGGGCCAATCACAATCCTCTCAGACAAGGGGCGGAGCCACGCCAACCGTCCGAGGTCGCGCAGGCGCAGGTATCCAGTTGGTCCGCTCGTTGCTGCGTGGTGAGGGCTGTCCGCCAAGGTAAGCAAGGAGAGTATTCCGGCTCCCCATCTGTAAGAACGTACCCCGGAGGAGGCCACTGAGTCTTGGGGGGAAGGAGTCCTGTTTCCGCTTAACCTGGGAGTTTTCGCCTCCTCTGAAAGCAGAGCCTGACAAAAGCCGCTGTTGAGCGGAGGATCTCCCCGTATCTGCAGGAAATCGTGGCCGGAGCTCCCCTGAGCCTTCCTCCTGCCCCTGGGAAGGACCTAACAGCCCACTACTCGGCGCGGGTTGTGCACTGGCTGCTCTGCCTTCTTCAACGTCTGGTCCAAACTCACGTTTCGGTCGTTAATTATCCAAATTTACTGCAGACTTGATACAAAAAAGGACTAGGGACCTGCCCTCAAGGAATTCACCCTAAGGGGAAGAAACTGTCAGGGGAATTAGAATACGATGCAAATTGATGTGGACGCGAAGAGGGTGACGTTGGGAAGGTGTGAGGGGCGGGGATGCATTACTAGGGAAGGAGTTGTTATTTCATATGTACATATCTATAGGTGTGAAAGAATAAGACTTTTTTATGGGCAGCAGGAATAGGGCAGTATGGCTGAAGCATGAGTTTGTGGAGAGTAGATACTAGATATAAGGCGGGATGTAAGGGTTAGCTTGCAAAGAACCTTTATACCCAGACAAATGGGCAGTTATTCGTGGCATTTGAGCCAAAGAATGGCATATGCCAATTTTGGTTAATATAGTGAGACTGGAGTCTGGTTGCTCCCTTGGGAGAAATCGTCTTGCTTGTTCTAATCCTTTTACCATGGCTTTGTACTGTTTTCATTTTATATTTATACTGCGTATCCATAAGGGATGGTTCCAGGACATCCTGCAGATACCATATCCATCAAAAGTCAAGTCCCAGTTATAAAATGGTGTCGTTTTTGCATATAACCTATGAATGTCCTCGCATATACTTTATATTTAAACTATGCATGTCCTCCCCATATAGTTTATATTTAAGAGACAAGAGCCTTTGTTGCTCAGGCTGGTTATTTATTTATTTATTTTTGAAGCAGAGTCTCGCTCTGCCACCCAGGCTGGAGTGCACTGGCATGATCTTGGCTCACTGCAACCTCTGCCTCCCACGTTGAAGCAGTTATCCTGCCTCAGCCTCCCGAGTAGCTGGGATTACAGGCATGAGCCACCTTGCTGGCCAGTTTGGTTTTCTTTTGTTTTTGAGACAGCATCTTGCTCTGTCGCCCAGGCTGGAGTTCAGTGGCATGATCTCAGCTCACTGCAGCCAACTCCTGGGTTCAAGTCTTTCTCCTGCCTCAACCTCTTGAGTAGCTGGGATTACAGGCCTCTCCTACAGCACCCCCCCGCCCCAAAAAAAACCCCTAAACTCATAAACAACAAGGATCTCACAAGAAACTATAGCCTGGGCGACAGTGCAAGACTCCGTCTAGATCTTGGCTCACTGCAACCTCCTCCTCCTGGTTCAAGCAGTCTTATCTTATTGAATTTCTACCCTTTTCCCAATTTGATTTAGATGATCTGTGACTTTCAAAGAAGTAGAGAGACAGGTGATTGTGGGATAAAATTTAGGTCCACAGTAACCACAATTTTGGAAGGTGTAAATGGGCTAAGTTTTGTATTTTTAGTAGAGACGGGATTTCCCCATGTCTGCCAGGCTGGTCTTGAACTCCTGACCTCGAGTGATCCACCCACCTCAGCCTCCCAGACTGCTGGGATTACAGGCAAGAGCCAGTGCACCAGGCCTCATAGGCTGTTCTTGAACCCCTGCATGTCCTCCCATATACTTTATTTATTTTAGAGATGGGGGTCTCCTTTGTTGCACAGGCTGGTCTTGAATCCCTGGCCTCAAGTGATCCTTCTGCCTTGGTCTCCCAAAGTGCTGCAGTTACAGGTGTGAGCCACCGTGTCAAGCCCTGCCCCATATACTTTGGATCATTTCTTAATTACTTATAATAACTAATAAAATGCTGAGTAAATAGTTGTTACACTGTATTGTTTAGGGAATAATGACAAGACAAAATGTACAGTACCTGTTCGGATGAAATTTTTTTAATTTTTTTTTTTTTTTTTTTTTTTTTTGAGACAGTCTTACTCTATTACCCAGGCTGGAATTCAGTGGCACAATCTCGAACTACAAAACACTTCTAGCAAAAAATCTTTATTTTTAAGAAAAAAGTATTTTTTCTCATTTTCTATTTTTGTCATAAATTTTTATTCTTTCCAAAATATCAGAACCAAAACTTGAACTTCCTTTTGGTTGATACATGCCCAGCAAGACTGATCAAAGAAAAGATGGCACAGATAAACAGTGTTAGAAATGAAAATGGAAACAAAACCATAGATAACTACAGAGATTAAAACGATAAAACATTATACAAATAAATTTAAAGTTGCATGAAATAGATAAATTTGTGGGAAAATTTAACTTGCCAAAATTGATGCAAGAAGAAATAAAGAATTTAAATAACATTAAAATAAATTGGATTTGTAGTTTAAAATTTTCTTAAAATGAAAACACCAGGACCAGATAGAGTTCTTCCAGACAACCTAGTAACAAATTATCTCTTGGACTAATCCACAGTGTGTCAAAAAAAGGAGGCAGCATTCCCTAACTCATTTTAGGAGGCTAGCATAACCTTAATACCTAATAAAGACAAAATTAGAAAGGACAATTATAGGCCAATCTTACTGATTAGCATAGTGTTAAAAGTTTTCCCTTTAAGGTTAGAAATCTGACAATACTAACTATCAGCTTTTCTTGCTTGCTTGCTATTTGTTGTTGTTGTTGTTGAGAGAGGGTCTCACTCTGCCACCCAGGCTGGAGTACAGTACAGTGGCACAATCATGGCTCACTGCAGCCTCCATCTCCCCAGGCTTGGGTCATCCTCCCACCTCAGCCTCCTGGGTAGAGGTTCATGCCACCATACTTGGCCCAGCTATCAGCTTTTCAGGCTGATGCCACCATACCTGGTCCAGCTATCAGCTTTTCTATTCAACATTGTACTGGAAGTTACTGCCAGAATAGAAGGCAGGGAAAGGATTAGAAGGGAAAAATAAACTGATTATATGAGGATGATATGATTGGCAGTATAGAATTATTCCCAGACCGCTCTTCACCCCAAATAGCATTATTAAGCATCATTAGCATTATTAAGGCTTTGGTTAAAAATCAATTCAATTTATATGTCCCCGTAAGAAATGGGTGGATAATAGTGTTTTTGAAAATATAGCAAAAATAGGCCGGGCGCAGTGGCTCAAGCCTGTAATCCCAGCACTTTGGGAGACCGAGGCGGGTGGATCACGAGGTCGAGAGATCAAGACCATCCTGGTCAACATGGTGAAACCCCGTCTCTACTAAAAATACAAAAAATTAGCTGGGCATGGTGGTGTGTGCCTGTAATCCCAGCTACTCAGGAGGCTGAGGCAGGAGAATTGCCTGAACCCAGGAGGCGGAGGTTGCGGTGAGCCGAGATCGCGCCATTGCACTCCAGCCTGGGTAACAAGAGCGAAACTCCGTCTCAAAAAAAAAAAAAAGAAAATATAGCAAAAATATAAAGTACTTAGAAATTAATCAAACAAAAATTAGGTAAAGCTTTGTGGAGAAAATTACAAAACCTTTGGAAAGCATCAAAAAAGACTGAAACAGCATGTTCATAGATCTTAGAATTCAACATCATAAAGATATCAGTTCTCTTCAGTTTGGTCCATAATATCAATAAAATTACAATCCAAATCACAGAACCCTGTTATGATTTGGATTATAATTTCATATATACATATGTATGTATTTATGGACTTATGAACTGATTCTCAAATCTATATGGAAGAGTAAAGAGCCAAGAATAATCAAGTCATTCCTGAAGAAAAAGACCAGGTGAATAAGGTATCATAAAGCATCATGTTGTACACCTTAAATATATACAGTTTGTCTCAGGGAGGATCCGTACACAGAATAAAAAAATATATATATATATGTGTATATATATATATATATATATATATATATATATACACACACACATATATATGTATGTATATATATATACACACACACACATATAATTTGTATTTGCCAGTTATACCTCAGTAAAGTTGGGAAACAATTTAAATAAATAATAATAAGTGAATAAGCCATGGTAATTGAAACAGTGGAGTATTGTCTCAGAAATAATCCAGTTGGTCAATGGAACAAATTTAAGAGTCCCAAAACAAATCCACATATACAGAAATTTAATTTATAGTAATAGCAGGGACTTATTCAATAAATGGTGTTAGAATGATTGGCTGTTCATATGGGGGAAAATTTGTAAATTGGACCCCTACCTCACTCACTGTACATAAAATTCAATTCCTAGTGGATTAAATATTTAAATTTGAAAAGCAAAATTATAAAATATTTGAAGACTATATAGAAATATCTCTACATTTGAGGATAAGGAAAAAATTCATACACAAAGTATAAATGTAAAGAAAAAATAATTTTTTTTTTTTGAGATGGAATTTCGCTCTTGTTACCCAGGCTGGAGTGCAATGGCACAATCTTGGCTCACAGCAACCTCCACCTCCTGCCTGAGCCTCTCAAGTAGCTGGGATTACGGGTGTGCACCACCACAACAGCTAATTTTGTATTTTTAGTAGAGACGAGGTTTCTTCCATGTTGGTCAGGGTGGTCTCAAACTCCTGACCTCAGATGAGCTGCCCACCTCAGCCTCCCAAAATGCTGGGATTACAGGTGTGAGCCACTGCACCCAGCCAGGAAAAGATTTTAAGATTGATCACGTTAAGAGTACGTGTTCATTGAAAGACACCATGGATAACATGGAAAGATAAGTGCAAACTGGGGGATATTTGTAACACATATTGAAGAATTGGTGTCCTTTGCTTGGTTAGTAGAGGGAGAACTAGATTTGAAAAGAGTGTTGGGTGAGTATGTGTGTGGGTGTTGGTTTTAGGTGAGAGAGATTTTGAGCATATTTGCATATTGAGGGTGAGAAAGATGGAATAATTGATGGACTGGTATCCCTGAAGATTGGGAACATAACACATGGAGACAACCTCAGCCATTTAACATTTGCTTGTATCTCAGAATGTGACTGTCTCTACCACTCTTGCTCTCACAAAGCATATGTAGACTTCCTCACAACAGCTAATATTTGTCAAGTCCCTTACTGGCAGGCATGCTAAGGCTACAGTAGTAAGCAAAATCAGACCCAGGCATGGCCTCATGAGTTTATAATTTATCAGTGGAAACACCCACTATTTAAAACCTTTAGTGTTTTTATTTTTTGTAGAACTTTTTACAAATTTTTTTTTTTTTTTTGAGATGGAGTTTTGCTCTTGTTACCCAGGCTGGAGTGCAATGGTGCGATCTTGGCTCACCGCAACCTCCGCCTCCCGGGTTCAGGCAATTCTGCCTCAGCCTCCTGAGTAGCTGGGATTACAGGCACGCGCCACCATGCCCAGCTAATTTTTTGTATTTTTAGTAGAGACGGGGTTTCACCATGTTGACCAGGATGGTCTCAATTCTCGACCTCGTGATCCACCCGCCTCGGCCTCCCAAAGTGCTGGGATTACAAGCTTGAGCCACCGCGCCCGGCCACAATTTTAATTCTTTATTTAAAATATATATTTGCTTGAGTAGATAAACGTTCACAAGAAGGGAATAGAAAAAACTCAGATTCCCTTGTCAGAATAGAGATAAGAAGAAGAATCTTGGCTGGCCGTGGTAGCATATGCTTGTACTTCCAGCTACATGGGAGGCTGAGATGGGAGGATTGCTTGAGCCCAGCAGGTGGAGGTTGCAGTGAGCTGAGATTGTACCACTGCACTCCAGCCTGGGTGACAGAGCAAGACCCTATGCTGGGTGCATTGGCTTAAGCTTCTAATCCCAGCACTTGGGGAGGCCAAGGAAGGTAGATGACTCACCCGAAGTCAGGTGTCTGAGACTAGCCTGGCCAACATGGCAAAACCTTGTCTCTAATAAAAATAAAAAAACTAACTGGGCGTGGTGGTGCACACCTGTAATTCTGGCTACTCTGGAGGCTGAGGCATGAGAATTTCTCAAACTCTGAAGGTGGAGGTTGCAGTGAGCTGAGATGCTGCCACTGCCCTTCAGCCTGGGTGACAGAGTGAAACTGTTTGTTTAAAAAAAAAAAAGAGGAATCTGTCCCCCACCGTCACTACTTTGAAGCTGTTTGCTGAAAACTTCATAGTCATTATTGCTGATGATTTCATGGTTGCCTCTTTCCTCCTCCAGTGCATCCCAGCCAGCTCTTAGTGTGGAGCAGTGACCTGTGTGTGGTTCCTTCTACTTGGGGATTATGCAGAGAGCTTCACGTCTGAAGAGAGAGCTGCACATGCTGGCCACAGAACCACCCCCAGGCATCACATGTTGGCAAGATAAAGACCAAATGGATGTTCTGCGAGCTCGTAGGTATCAAGTTATGTATATGGTGAAAGTCATGACCCTATTGAAGATTGTGCTGAAATCAAACATTTTGTATATTCTAAAGTAAGGAGCAGTTATAAGGTTAGAGTGCCCTACCATCTTTCTACCCAAATGTGTTCACATTTATAAAAGGTTTGCTTCACATTTCTTGCTTCTTTGACTTTTTATTATACCTTTGGCTGATTTATAGCCAAGATTTAAAGCAGTGAAGCAGTGTTTAGATCAAAGATAACCATCTCAAATATCTGTCAGGCCAGATGGGAAACATACCTGATTAGAATATTGCAGTCCAAACAAAACAAATCTGTAGGTTTTATTTGGTCTTGTGGCGAGCATTTTGCAGCTTCTGCTTTAGATTTTGTATATGTCCTTTGCTTGACACCATCAACTTTTTGAGTATATTAGCATTGTGGCATGTTGCATGAGGACTTGTTAAAGTCCCGAGAGAGAATTATTGTCCTAGGCCTAGTTTCTCTGTTAGGACCATAGACCTCATTAGCTCCACATGGTGGTAATTCGAGTGATCTGAATGCCCATTAACTTTTTCTTTCTTTCTTTTTTCTTTTAAGAAATATTAGGTGGAGCCAACACACCTTATGAGAAAGGTGTTTTTAAACTAGAAGTTACCATTCCTGAGAGGTTAGTATGAATCAACTTCTCAACCTAGATGGTAAAGTACATTTATTGGAAAACAGAGCAATGTAGTAGATGGAGCATTAAACGTAGGGGTTAAAGTACTAGGTTTTAATCCTGGCCTTATCATGACTTAATGTGACCTTGACCAAGTTATTTTATCTCTCTAGAGTTCAGTTTCCTTCTCAAGAATAATGAGCCAGATCCCATCAAAGTCCTCCTCACTTTTTAAATTGTGGTAAAATATGCATAACATACAGTTGACCATTCTTAAGTGTATAGTTCAGTGGTATTAAATACATTCACCTTGTTGTGCAACCATCACCAACATCTATCTCCAGAACTTTTCATCTTCCTCAACTGAAACTTCGTAGCCATTAAACTATAACTCCCCATTTTTCCCTGCTCTCAGCCCCTGGCAACCACTATTGTGCTTTCTTAATATTAAGGTTCCCCCCTGCCTTTTTTTTAGCTTTTAGGTTCAGGGGTACATGTGTAAGTTTTTGTTTTGTTTTGTTTTGTTTTGTTTTTTACACTCCCCACCCCCTGCCGAAAGTTTTTTATATAGGTAAACTCATGTCATTGGGATTTGTTGTACAGATTATTTTTGTCACCCAGGTACCAGACCTAGTATCCAATAGTTTTGCTCTTCTCCCTCCTCCCACCTTCCACTCTCAGGTAGGCCCCAGTGTCTTTTGTTCCCCTCTTTGCATCCATGTGTTCTCATCATTTAGCTCCCACTTATAAATGAGAGCATGTGGTATTTGGCTTTCTGTTCCTGCAAGGCCATGATCTCATTCTTTTTTATTGTTAAGGCCTCTTTTAATTCAAGTCTCCTTTAAGGCTCTCATCAGGTAAGTTATAGTTACAGATTTATACAGAATAGGGAAGAGAAGAAGTGAATATCTAACAGTTGAAGCATAGACTTGTAATCACTAGGTCAGATCATGGCCAAACTTGTTCAAGTCTTGAGAGAATGGCCTAATAATCATGCAGTGCATCAGTTTTTAAAATAGACTGGAAACTGCAAGGTCTGTGTCTCACTAAAGATACATAATAACTAAATGAAATGTATAAACCTTAATTGAGTCCTGTTTTGAAAAACCCAGTTATAAATTTTAAAAAAAAAAAATTGGGGAGAACAATTGAAATCTGAAGAATAAGTGATATTAGGGAATTAGTTCTTAAATTTTTCATAGGTGTAATAGTATTGTAGTTATATAGGAGAATGTTCTCATTCTTAGAAGATATGCTCAAGAATTTAGAAGGTGAAGTGGCTTGAATCCCGGTGGTAGATATATGGATGTTTTCAGTACTGTTATTTCAAGATGATTGTAAATTTTCATAATGAAAGTTTAGGAGGAGAGAAAGTTTGCCTCCTAAAGGCTGTCTCCCTGACATTTCTGTAATACCAACATTTTGTGACCAAGAAACTATTTTAAATGTATTTAGAAGCAAAATTATTTAATGAAAATTATCTCTTGTCTGTTCTTTCATAGGTACCCATTTGAACCTCCTCAGATCCGATTTCTCACTCCAATTTATCATCCAAATATTGATTCTGCTGGAAGGATTTGTCTAGATGTTCTCAAATTGCCACCAAAAGTGAGTTGTGGGCAAACGGTTGACACTACAGCATTTTGTTTTCATCTATTAGAGTATCGTGTCTAATATGAAAGCAACTATTTATCTGTTTGTGTGTAGGGTGCTTGGAGACCGTCCCTCAACATCGCAACTGTGTTGACCTCTATTCAGCTCCTCATGTCAGAACCCAACCCTGATGACCCACTCATGGCTGACATAGTAAATATCCCCATTTCCCTCTGCGGCACATATCCTGCCTTGTCTCTACCACTAACTCCCCCTGTGTGAGGATAGCTGCAGCAGCTCTGACTGACTCCTGCAAATAATTTTTTTCTTCATTAACTCTTTTCTTTGATTTTATCTCAGTCCTCAGAATTTAAATATAATAAGCCAGTCTTCCTCAAGAATGCCAGGCAGTGGACAGAGAAGCATGCAAGACAGAAACAAAAGGTATGATGTTTGCTACTATTGTCAGTTAATTAAGTATATATAGTATATATATGTGCAAAGAATGTTTCTTAGATTTGCCAAATTCGTACTAAACTCTAGAATGACTAGGTGATCTTTTTCTCCTATTGCAGCCTTCTAAATAATCCAGCAAAATAGCCTAATAGCTCAACCCACCGTAGGTATTTCAGAACAGTTACCATATGTTGGCAACACTAGAGGGCAGGCAGCATCTGGTTAATTTCTTTTATACTGTGGGTAGCAGGGATAGCAGGGTGGTGTCTCAGATTCTTTTTTTCTAAATTGTCCTTTTAACACTGAGAAGAATCTATATTTGCAGGGACTAGTTGCAGAAATAGGGGGAAACTTACTTTTCTAATGGGACCATTCATGGAAGAAGTTTGAAGGAAAAACCTCAGGTCAATAGAATTTCCTCATTTAGCAAAATACAAATTACAGGAACATGGAAATTAGCACATCATAGTTCTTGCTGAGTTACACCATCCTTCAGATTGAGTTAAATGGCAGTTGTGTTACTTGTAAAAGGAAATAAAAGTTAAAACATAAAAAACAATTGAGGAGGATGTTTTTGAGAGAATATCATATGCACAATGCAATATATAAATCTTGCAACAAAGAAATACATGGAAATAATATTACAGAGCTTTATTTTTCTCCATCCTGTCATTTGTGTGAACCTTACTTTATTTCACCCTGTCTCTTCCTTTTTAGGCTGATGAGGAGATGCTTAATAATCTACCACATGCTTGTGACTCCAGAGTATACAACTCAACACAGAAAAGAAAGGCCAGTCAGCTAGTAGGCATAGAAAAGAAATTTCATCCTGATGTTTAGAGGATTTGTCCTGGTCCATCTTAGTTAATATGTTCTTTGCCAAGGTGATCTAAGTTACCTACCTTGAATTTTTTTTTTTAATATATTTGATGACATAATTTTTGTGTAGTTTATTTATCTTGTACATATGTATTTTGAAATCTTTTAAGCCTGGAAAATAAATAGTCATTTAATGTTGAATATGTGTTTATCCTGAATGTGTGTCTGGGAGTAAACTGGCCAGAGAGCTGTATAATTGGAATGTTAAAATATTTGGAATTGTTGTCCTTTCGTTTGCCGGCTTACCAGCATCACTAGGGACATTGAATATTTGACACAGATGTAAAATAGCTGTAGAAACAATTCAATTACCCTTACACTTTCAGGGATTATAGCTTTTCTGAGTTCTTAAAATAATGTGGGAAGAAGATAACAGACCCTTTTGCAAATTTTTTATTTTTTTGAAGCTTTTACTTTTTGTGATTTACATAGCTGACCAGAATTGCTGTGATAAAACTTTCATTTGTTCAACAAATACTCATTGAACACCTACTGTTTGCCAAGTAGTATGCTAGTGTTTGAGAATGAAATGTGAGAAAATCAGATGTGAGATTAACCAAATACTCATACAAATTTAAGTAGAGATTTACTCTCTCCAGCATCATTTTATGACAAGTACCATTCTGGACAATTTGGTACCAAACTTGAATTCCTTACTTACGATTTTACAATACACTTGACTTATCTTTATAATTCTATTTAAGTAACAGAGATAACAGATTTGAGCAGAAATCAGCTGAAGTAGGAAGAGGTCACCCAGGCCAAGTGAAGGCTTTTTGCGGAATGTATTATAGATGTTGGACCTTCCTAGGCAGGTGAATAAAGACCATAATGCCCTTGTCCATATCCCAGTGTAGCAGTGACGGGTTTTATCTAGGCTAGGCACCATGCATGTAAAATGCACCTCTGAAGAGGTAACTTTCATTCATCTGCCTATGAATTACCTTGTACTTTTTACTGAGCAGCAGCCTCCCATACTGCTCATGTGGCGTTTGGACTCAGGCAAAGAACAAGAAGTACGAATTTATGTAATCCATTAATGACAGGTCATGGCAAAAGCTAAAAATACACATTTCTAACCTCTACAGAATTTTTGAACCTACTTTTCAAAATCAGTTACTGGTCTCTTTTTAAAGCCCAGGAATTAATTTCATTCCAGGCTTGTCTCCTATGCTTACGCGTACTTAAGCCAGGTTTGGATTTCCAAACACCACATGAGCAGTATGGCAGGCTGCTGCTCAGTAAAGAGTACAAGGTAATTCATAGGCAGATGAATGAAAGTTGCCTCTTCAGAGGTGCATTTTACATGCATGGTGCCTAGCCTAGGTAAAAACCGTCACTGCTACACTGGGATATGGACAAGGGCATTACGGTCTGTATTCACCTGCCTAGGCAGGTCCAGTATCTATAATACATTCCACAGGTAGTATATCATTTAGGATACTTACAGTTGTGAGTGAAATTCAACTCAGACTGGCAATAATGAAGAAAGTTCAATTGCCTTAATAAATAGAAAGTCCAGGGGTAGAGTGAACATCTGGATTGGTGGATTCAAAGGTTCAACAATATCAATATCTTGGTCTCTTTCCTTCTGTCGTCCATAGTATCAGCTTTCTCTTGAGCTGTCTGTTCCTGAAGTTTCTTCCACTCCTAAGGTGACTACCAGCAGCAGTTGGGGTGATGTACTTTATTCAACAGGCCAGGAGGCTCTGCTTTCCATGAAGCAAAAGTCCCTGCAGACCACCTTGAAAGCAATCACTGGCCAGGGAAATGCCGTGTGCTGATTGCTCTGGGTTAATAAACCCAGAAATGAAGTGAGAGATGGACTTGGGGAGTAGTTGTAGGAAAAGAGTACCTCCTATAGGACGAAACCCCTTACCCTGCTATCACCATGTCTGGTCAGCTCTCCCAGCTACTTCTCCCTACCCGTACTTACAACGCTAGTTCAGCGGCCATCATCTCTCGCTTGCACGTTAGCCATAGCCTTCTAACTTGTTTCCTTGCCCCTGTTCTTGACCTTCGACCCACCATGCTCTTCACAAGAATAATCTTTTGACAATGTAAGTCGGATTTGGTTTCATTCCTCCAAGTGGCTTCATCTTGCAATTAAAAGCCTAGTCTCCTTCCCTGACCCATAAGACCCTGCATGATCTGGCACCTGCTTGCTTTATCTATCCATCCTCATTGCATACCCTCAACCGGCTTATACCTTATACAGACCTGCTTTCAATCTCTTGAACACACCTAGCTCATTCCTACTTCAGGGATTTCACATATGCTGTTTCCTCTGCCTCCTACATTCCTTCCCCAGGATAGTCTCAGCTTGAATGTAGCTGCCTCAGAAAGTACTTGTCTATCCCATCTAAAGGAGCCCTAGAGCCTCAGATACTCTCTGGTCCATAGCCTATTGCCCTAATTAATTTTCTTTATAGCATTTGTACCTACCTGGAAATGTGTTCATTTTTAAATGTATATATTGTCTCACTCTAAGTGCTGGGGATATAGTGGCTACAAGGAACTTTTCTCTCTAATCACAAGAAACACCAGAGCCAAAAGCTATTAGAAGTCATCCAACCATGTCTGCCCGAGGTACAGAGGACTGGGCTAGAGAACAGAAGTGACATGCTCGAGGATTTAAAAGCCCAGCTCCCTATTCCCACCTCAGGGGAGGATGGGAAAAGGCTAAAAGCATGGACTTAGGTCAAGAAGACCCAGTCTCAGCTCTGGCAGAGCTGCTTACAAGTTGTGTGACCTTAGCTTTCTATTCAGTCTTTCTATTTTTTCGGGTTTGCCTCTGTAAAAGGGATGATGCTGCTGCTTAAGACTCATGAGGTTGTTGTGAAGATTCAATGAGATGATGTATATAAAGCATCCAGTGCAGGGCCTGGCACAGTGTTGACATTTACCAAGTGCCTAACAGGGGACTGGGGGATGGAGACAGCCATCCAACCATAGGTGGGTCTTAAGGAGCTGCCCTGCCCACTGCCTGCTTGCCAATCTGCTCTGTTCCTAGGATAAGCAAGCTGAGCTGTTTCTCAACCCCAAACCCCTAATTAAAGAGAGATGACATCCATGACTGATCATATAAACATTGCAGATTCCAAGTTCCCCTCTCCTGCTACCCCCAACCCCCCTTTCCACCTCTCCCCAAAAACTATGTAAATAAGAACAGATTTTACCACCCACCTTGTGGGCAGACTCAGCTGAGGCTGGAACTTGCTATTTATCCTTCGGCTGCTGCGGGATTTCAACACATACAAATAAAGCTCCTTTTCCAGCCAAGTGTGTATTTTTCCATCAGCATGTGGCCCCCCTGCCCAGGTTGTCTTGTTTAGGTTGGGACAGCCTGAGGGAGGGAAGGACAAGGAAGGGGTGTGGGGCTGTGATTTCAGAACCTGCTCCCCAGGATGGCTGGCTGCAAGACATCTTACAGTCCTGGACCACACTGGGCTGCCAGCGAAGCCCGGGAGAGGTTGGGGTGATGGACACAGACATGCTACACACACAAACAACACATTCCACTTTCTCCTAGCTTCTTGGCAAGTCACCCCTGCCTCCTGCCAAGGCCCCCAGAGAGCGTCCATCCCTTTCTCCATCTCTTAGTTTATATGAGGGATGACAGGTTATCCAGAATGTCTCGATCATTCCACCCACCCTCCCACCCCTCTGCAGGGTTTCTCCCCTTCACCTGCCTGTTTTCCTTGCTCACCTTTTCCCTGATCCCACATCCCAATAGAGTGTGTCCCCTTTCTGACACTGTCTTCTTCCTTAAACTAGGACCCTGAAACGCTGTGCTTCAAAAATGTCGATTCTGACGGTTTCTTCTCTCCAACCTTCATCTCAGGCAACTTTTCTAGGGGGTGAGTTCTTAGTCTCTAGGTTGTCTCTAGGCCTGGGAGATACTGCCATGCACTAAGCTAAATCCTTCACTTGAATTTTTTTTTTTTTTTTTTTTTTTTTTTTTTGAGATGGAGTCTTGCTGTCACCCAGGCTAGAGTGCAAGGGCATGATCTTGGCTCACTGCAACCTCCACCTCCCGGGTTCAAGCGATTCTCCTGGCTCGCCTCCGCAGTAGCTGGGATTATAGGTGTACACCACCACGCCTGGCTCATTTTGTATTTTTAGTAGAGACAGGGTTTCACCATGATGGCCAGGCAGATCTTGAACTCCTGACCTCAGGTGATCCATCTGCCTCTGTCTCCCAAAGTACTGGGATTATAGGTGTGAGCCACTATGCCTGGCCTCATGAAAAATCTTTTGAAATTTTTTCAGCAACCTTCAGAGTTTAGATACTGTGATTATCCCCATTTTACTGATGATGAAACTGAGATTCAGAGAGGTTAATTAAAACCTAATGACAAATGGCTTTTAATGTTAAGTGTGGGATTCAAATCCAGGCCTGTATGACTCCAGAATCATACTTGTCAGCTGTATGGATTCTGTTCTAATTTCTTTTTTTTTTTTTTTTTTTTTTTTTTTTTTTGAGACAAAATTTCACGCTCATCACCCAGACTGGAATCCAATGGCACCATCTTGGCTCACTGCAACCTCCACCTTCAAGTGATTCTCCTGCCTCAGCCTCCTGAGTAGCTGGAATTACAGGTGCCCACCACCACGCCCAGCTAATTTTTGTATTTTTAATAGAGACGGGGTTTCACCATATTGGCCAGGCTGGTTTCAAACTCCTGACTTCAGGTGATCCACTCACCTTGGCCTCCCAAAGTGCTGGGATTACAGATATGAACCACTATGCCTTGCCCTGTTCTAATATTTTTACGTCTATCTCCACAGAATAGCTGTGGGATAATGGGCAATTTTCTCCTCTATAAAATGTGGACATGGCTTGAATGCTCTCTGAGGTTTATCCCAAAGCTAACACTTGGCAGTTTGCAATTCTGAAACTTCCTGCATAACCCAGGGACCCAGGGCAGAGCCTGCCTGTGGATCTCTAGTTTAGTGATGAAGTAAATTAGGTTGGTCTGTTACCTTCTCATCTTCCCTTTTTATTACCTTTACTCCTTCAGCATTCTCTTGACTTAGGTTCCCTGCTAGGGATTTTCCACCCAGGCCCACTGTTAACCCATCCTGACAATACTTCTGTCTCATCAAATACTTTTGCTCATCAAAATTCCCATTTAGGC